TACTGAGGAAGGAAACAACATCGCTCCAATGACCTACCTCATAGCACTATTGTCGGTCTATGGCACTAAGGACGCTCCTCGAGGTTTCTGGCTGGAACTTCGCCGAGAACTACTTGAGCAAGGACTCACGGAGATCGATCCTGCAGTTTGCCTAAGCGATGAAGGACGGACCTGCGGCATGGTACGCAGTCATGTGGACGACCTCATTTGGGCAGGCAATGAGAAGATGGATGAGCTGATGAACTGGGTTCAACAACGGTTCACTTTTGGTTCGGCGGATGCCGGACGTTTCCCTTTCTGCGGACGCAAGATTGAGAGCACCGACGACTACATCTGAATGTCAAGTCCTGAGACTTTGCGGAAGACCAAGCCGGTGCATGTGGACCGTGAACCGATGAGGCAACCCACGGATCAAGCAGGCAGCCAGGAACAGTCTCAGATGAGAGCTGTACTGGGATCAATCGGATGGGTCGCTAGACTGAGTTGAGCTATATGTCTTCTGCACTACAAGGGAAGCAGAGCACAACTGTCATGGACTTGAAGGCCACCAACAAGTTGCTGAGCGTGGCTCAGAAAACAAGCAACAATGGCATCAGGTTCGTGATGGGCTGTTCTCCTGTCCGTAACGGATGCGTCGCGCGCAGCAGAGCTGATCGTGGATGAGAATGGAAAGAAGCAGGGTCACAAGTCACAAGGAGGAAGATTCCTCCTACTGGCGGACCATATGCCACAGCTGGAGCACAAGACATGGTGTCACGTGTTCGACTGGGGGTCGCAGACATTGAAGAGAGTCTGCAGGTCGACACTTCAAGCTCGAGGTACTCGGCTTGGAAGGTGGCAGCGGCTGACCATAAGCTCATTTGCTGGGCGTCGGATTGTCGTGGCTTTGTTGATGACATGAACCCTACCAGTCCAAGCATTGTCAGCGACAAACGCCTGGCAATCGATATGTCGGCATTGAAGCAGGGGTTGTGGCGCCAAGCTGGCGAGGAAGTGGGCGACGTGCATTCAAGCCCTCACATACCGGTGGGAGCCACCGACCAGCTTTGGTGGATTGGAACCAACCAAGGACATGATCTCCGATGAGCTCACAAAAGCAATGCGCTGGGATTCGGTGCGAGAGCTGTGCGAGTTCAGCGTTTCGGTGAAACCGATTCGAGCTGGCTTTGTTGCGAGCAATGGCCTCAGTCGAGAAGACTTTGAGGGGTGTGAGAATCATGAAGTCACTCCAGTCACGACATGAGTCCATGCTTTGCCCGCTGCATTCCGACCCAAACCTTAACCTGGGCACAGGGCCTGGAGCTGTCTGGCGAAACAAGTGCCAGCACACGCTTTTGGCGGTGTCGCATCCGCCAACCAGCAATGGCCTCCAACCCAATAATAGGAATGGCCTCCTTCAGCTTAGCGAGGTGGCGCGCACAAGCCACTTCTGCAAGCTGCACGTTGGGCACGAAGTTGAAGGCTTGGTTCAACAAGGTCCCTAGGTTTGAGCTGTCCAGAAGAGCCTCCACAGCCAGCCAAGCGGAATTATGTTCCGCCGTCGATGAGGCCATGGCATCCAAATTGGGGCGACAAAGAGCACCAACACCTTGAAGACCTTTCACAACCTAAGAGCTTAAGTCAGGAGCCTGCGGCGCACTGCGCTCGAGCAATGTCGAAGAGAGCACCTGAACCCACCGCCAGCCGCAAGGGCTGTGCAGGTGCAACTGCAGTGTGCGTTGAAGCGTGCTCAACCAAGTTGGACGCCAGAAATTGCGTGCCCCTTCCAGACACGAGAGGTCCGGGGAAGACTCCAATCATGGCCTACACTTCCACAGCACACCAGCTTGTTGAGGAACCACCGTTGACAGCCTGAATATGGAACTTGTGGCGGAACGCTTTCCATCCTGTAGGCCGTGCGATGCCAAGATGTTTGAGAATCCCAGAGCTGGTGCCAAGGTCTTCAAAATCTCTGTAGGCCTTCAAACCTGTGCAAGCTGTTTTTCAGCCCGCTGCGTTTTCCACAGAAAAGCCTCCTAAACACATTCCGGTGTATCGGCGACCTGTCCGCCCGTGTGGTCATTGCTGGTGTGAGAATCCTTACTTTGTGTGACAAGGTGCCACTGTCAGTTTGACATAATAGGAACAAGGACGCTACTATGATCGTGGCGGTGCCGCTCAACCAGGTCACGTCTTGGAGACGTCACCACCTCTTGGAAACGGTATAACTAGACAGAGCTTCCGCGTGTTTCCTCGGTGGATTTTATGGAAGCCATCGCTATTACCAGGAAAATCCAGGAAATATCTGATATAGTTTGTGTTTGGTATGTTTCCTGGTGAGGTCTTGGACTGCATCGCATAAGAATGTGTCGGATGTTTCCAACATTATGTCACCGTCGCCCAGCCGTGCATCATGGAGATCTTTGTTTTTTTCTCAGGTTGAGGCCGACGGATGTCATCAATGCCTTGAGGCCTCAGGGTCTTCAGCTGCGTCTTGATTGTTCTGACCGGCAGTTGCGCCACCCGAGGTTGAGAGAGTGGATGCCACCGTGAAGCAATTGTCTCACAATGCCGGCCAATGCCATGCCAGTAGACAGCGTGATCCTCAATCTTCAACTCGAAAAAGCAAAGACTTTGCGAAGAAAGCAGAAGTAGATAAGTGTTCACAATCAGCCAATCATGCAATCAATTACTCACATGCATTTTCACTTGCTCACTCACTCACTCCGTCCACCCCACACTCCACCTCATCTCACCTACCTGATTCCACGCACCCTCCCACGCCCGCGCGGCCGTACTTCATCCAAGTTCCCTCACTTTACGCAATCCACTGGACTGACGCCGCTTACTTCTTTCTTCCCTCCCTCGTGTGTTTTATACCCACTTTGCTTTTTAAAACAAGTTTTCCCGAGAGCGCCTGTGCGAAGGGTTCTTCCAAAAAAAGAGGAGGTTTCTTTTCTATCTTAAGCCGAGTCGGGAGCCACGAGAAGTGTTCCGGATGCGCCCCTCTCGTACGAAACGTGCATCAAGGGTCAAAAACTCGATTCTATGTTTTGCAATTTTGTTGCCCCAAGATGCGCCACTCTCGCACGAAACGCGTGTCGAGTATCAAAAACTCATGGTTTTTTGTGATTTTGAGTGTCCCGGTGCAACCATCTGCGGCGAAACGCGCGTCAAGTGTCAAAAGCTCGATGATTTTTTGCGATGTTCAATGTCTGCTGAGGCTTGGTGAAAAAGATTTGATTCTAAAGCTTCGTCAAGAAGATTTGCCTTCTAAAGCTGCGTCAAGAAGATGTGCTTTCTAAAGCTCCGTCAAGAACATCTGCCTTCTAAAGCCGACAATTCTGAGAGGCAGCCGCTTTGATTTCCCTAGAGACAAGATGCAAAGCAACAGAGAACCTTTGAATCCAGATTAAGCACCGGGGTAAATAGTTTGATGGTTGGATTTGTGCACGCAAGCGCGTTTTCTGTTGTGCCTTTTTCCAGCGTTAAATGACTAGAGGGAAAATAGATGGAAAATCGAAAATCTGATGAAAATTGGTGGAATACAGTTTTTTGTTTGGTGTTCCACCTGCCAATGGAAGTCAGCAGGGAAAGACAATGTGAAGCAAGGATTGAGTCAGAAGGTGAACTACATTAGTTATGTTGAAACCCAACAACAGGTGGGGAAAGAAACTTTAAAGGTTTTGGAAAGGAAATCCGAAGGGCTTGGAAATGAGATGCAAAGGGTGTAGTAGCTGCTGAAAAGCTCTTGAAGGATGGTTGTCATCGTCAGGTAGAACAAGTGTTGTTGCATCATGTTGCACCTGGCGCTCACTTGTTTTCATTGTACTTGTTTTGCAGCCAGGGTTTTCAATGTTACACATTGGAAAACTTTGCATGCTGGAGCATGTGCTTGTTGAAAGGGGTTGTGCGCTTGACAAGCTTTCTGGTTTTCTGATCACACCTGCGACTGCAGCTTTAACCTCGCAAATCCTAGCAAACAAGAAACCAATTATTGATCCAAAAGAAACCGAGGTGTCATGTTCAGACCCTGAGAATTTGTGTATTTATTTATGGCAATGTTTGATTTTCAACCAACGCCACACTGACGCCAAATTCAGCCCCCTCAACTTCCCGTTTCGGATGCCAATGGCCGCGAAAATGTAGATTTGTGCTCCGCATGAAACCCCAAATCAGAAGAGTACTACATGCGGTTGCTTTGGCAGCTATTTGGCGGTGGGCAGGAACACTGGTGTTTGCAACACCACAGACTAGATGTTCTACACGGGGTCTCATGTCCCGCAGAAGTGTTCCAAATGTGTTTCCTGCTTTCTTTGATGCAGCTCAAGATCCAGCTGTGCAAGCTGCATGGGCTACCGTGGCATCGAAATTGACATCTGCAGCCCAGCTGTTGAAAAGTTGTCAACAAGTGCAGAAATTTGCCAGCAAATGTTTTGAAGGTGAAGATGCGGAAGATGCGAAGAAACATGCATCAGAGTTAGCAGGAGAGATTGAAAAAGCCGTGACTGCAGGACAGAATGTTCTGATCCCGTTTGCGCAAGAGGAAGACTGGCCTCTTCTGCCAATCAGAGGTACACCCTTCGAGAAACTCATGGTTGCAACGCTTCAGAATACCAGCATGATTGGAGTCTACGCAGTGCATGCGGAGCCAGGTGCCGGAAAGTCAACTGCCGCAGCACTGGCAGCGCTTGAACTGTTAGGGAGAGAGACGAAGGAAATAATCGTGCTTTTGCAGAACGACTTTGAACGGCAACTAAAGAGCTTCTTGCCAATGTGGAGTTCACTACAGAAATTATTCGCCCCCTCTTCACCATTCTGAAAGGGAAGGGGATCAGACTGAGGGTAATGTTGACAATGTTCTGGATGGTGGTATTCTCAATCAGGGAGATAGAGTGAGAGTGCTTGCCCGGGCTGCATGTGACAACCTTCACCAGATCATTTTCATCGTGCAGAGTGAAACTGCAGCGGAAGAGATTTCCCGTCTCAATGGTGATAATACGAAGATATCACCACAGCAGATGCCAGGAACATTCTACCGATGGTCTGAAGACCAGACGCGGGCGCTTCTGAATTGCTTGGATATGCAAAAACTATTGAAGAAGCGAAGGAAACCAGCTGATGGAGGAGCTGAAGAAGTAGACGTCTTAGACGGTCTCATGGCTGAAGTTCTAGAGGAGTTGAAGATCCCTGATGCATATGGCTGTTGGAGACCCAGAAGTACCAAACGACACATCATGACTGGAGATAGACCAACTGCACCTCTCCCTATCAGAGGCTGGGCGCACCAAGATAGTCTTGTGACACGACAGGGATGTTGCATCAAGAATGCAGAATTGATCGGTGTTTCTTTCTCAATTCTGTATTCAAAAGAGGTGCTGGATGGAATCCTTGAACATCAATCTTCAAAGTAGGCTAGCCAGTCTGAATGATTTGATGCCGGGCTAGGCACTACTGCCACACTCACCAAAGCTGTTTGGGTGAGGCAGCTCCAGAAGGACTGACGACAGTTCCACATGAAACACATGATTGGTATAGCAAAAACTGCAGACAAGAATCCACCCCCAAAACAATCAGAACTTGCCGTTTCCTTTCCTTTGTATGTTTTCTGCCATGCCCTTGTTCCTTTGCTGTGCCCTTTTGTCAGGTGTAGGAAGAACTATTTTTGACCAAAAACCATGCCCCAAAATAAAGCGTGATGAAGGGCAAGTCCACTGTGCAAGATAATACACTGTTATGCTACGAACTTGGCAGGGTTCAGGACTTTTAGGGAGAATATTGCAGGGTCGTTCATTCCTCAGGATTTATGAAATATGTATTGAAATAATCTTCCTCAATTTGATAAAGAGGATTTAGACTAAGTACTTTGTATGATTTTCTGCCATGCCCTTTGGCATGTTTGTTCCTTTGCTATGCCCTTTGGTAAGTACATGCGAGTAGCACACGGTTGGAAAGGGTTGAGTTTGAATGTCTCGACTGACCTTGCAGGACGACAATGGCGGCTTCAAGTTCGTCAGCAATGCTTTCCAGATTGACCCTGCACCTTCAAACATTGTGCACTTGACATATTTTCATCCCAGCCATATCATTGCCATTCCGCTTTTTGTCTTGGCCACATTTAACACCCTCCCCCAAAGACCAGCTGCTGACAAACCGAACTGTTGATCAGCTGAATTGACAGTTGTCCCTCTTCGGAAGTGAACGAAGGCAAGTGGCGAATCCAACAGCAATGGCATGAGCACAGCGCAGCTTCAAACACGAGTTTCTTGGCAAGATGAAAAGCAATCCACCCACGCGTTGATTGCTCAAGATTTCTATTGATTTCTACTTTTCCACTGATACGAATCCAGTGCGCGCCATCTGAAAAGTCTCTTCGTGTTTCGAGCTGCTGCCTGTTGGAAACCTCATCTACACGAGAAAGAATCGTTCTTCCAAACCACGAAGACCTCAAAGTCAAATGCAAACATCTTTGGTGGCTGTTGATCCACACTGCCTTTTTGCACATGCCTAGCAGCCTGGAAGCCATCGAAGAAAACACCAACTCGGCATGAAAACAGGTTCAATATTCTTTTGTGTGAAATTCTTTTGTGTGAAGATTGGTTTCGAGAATCTTGGCATAGAGAGGGCTGTAATGCAGATATAGTTGAAAGACATGTAGTTCAATGAATGGTGGGGTGAAGAGGAGAGCTTGTCAGTTCAACAGTTTCGGCAGGCTTTCGCCCACGTTTTCCTTTTGGCTTTGCGAAGTTCTGACCTTGTTGTATGTTGTGGTGAGCTGTGTGGGCGAAGCTAGCTGCTTGAAGTTCTTGCATAGCTAGGCTTGGTGTGCTTCAATGCTTCTTGTGGCTTGTTGCTTTGCATTCTATGGTGGTTGCCGCTGTTGTTTTGGTCTGGTTTCGTGCTTTACATATCTTGCGGGTCAAGTGAACGTCTTGTGTAATCTTATGTGCTTCGAGCACCTCGATCAAACACCAGTCCTTAACACCTACCGCAAGAACCCCTAGTGTTACCACACCGTTTGGGGGAAAAAGGGCAGAACAAATACGCATACCATCGCATACCCAAACCCAATGTAAAAACCGTGTAAATCTGCCTTTTCGCCTTTTCGCCCACAAAGCCGAGGCCACAAATGCCCAAGCGGCACCTTGGCCTGCGGCCCTATCAATGGTCAAAATCAAATCAAAGCTGCAACCACTCCTTCGACTGCAAGCTGGCAATCAGGCCAATCGGGCACCCCTTTTGGTTCAGCGGTCTGAACCCGCTGCCGGATGGTCCACTTTGCCTGTGTCTACCTGTAGTTCTGTGCTCTCACTAGAAGCTCGGTGTGTAAACGCGGAGGTTCTCCTGGAGCATGCGGCCGTGAACCAAAACAGACCTTTCTACGAGCCAAAATGTTACTTCCTGCATGTGGTGTGTATGGTGTGTGTTCAGGCTCTTTTAATTTCCAACCGGCCCAGAATTGTTGTGGAGGTATGCGGATGTGAGATTTTGAACAAACCAAAACGTGCAACCGATAGGCGGTGAAAGTGACAAAACGAACAAATCCAAAGGTGCAGAGTCTATGTGACTTTGAGGGAACAGAACACCAATGGACGCAAATGTGTGGTAAATGCAATCTGTTTTACATGTAAAACTAACGTTAACGGCATTGATCGCATTGTATACCTTGCCGGAAACCACAGGCAAACAAACAACAGTAGTGAATTTGTAAAGCCTGAACATCAGCCGGCCTCATTCTCCAGAAGGTATGTTTCAGGCGGCACGTTTGTGGACAGCACCTTGAATCCATCCTGATGAAAGCTTGACTAGAATAACTCAATGAAGGATTTCAACAGGAACCTTAAAACTTGGATGGTGGGAAATGAACGAATCATATGTTGCGTAAAGATTCCTGATTCCTTGATGCTTCAACCATTTGAGCTCAGGCTGCCAGCCTTGGTGATCACACCATGTTGCTCATACCTGAGTGGCGGCCGAGTGCAAGTGGCACTTTGGTGCTTTGAAGGTGTGCAAAGGCAGAAATAGGTTTATTAGCTGATTTGTCCTGGCCGGCCACCACGTCTCCTTTCAACTTTTAATCTCGCAAAGCAAAAACACAATGAAAAGCAAAGCTACGTCAATGAAAAGCAAAGCTCTAATAGGACCAAGAAGCTACTAGTAACAAGTGCCACGCTAGTAGTAACAGGTGCCTTACTAGTAGTAACAAGAAGCTAGTAGTAACAAGTGCCACGCTAGTAGTAACAGGTGCCTTACTAGTAGTAACAAGAAGCTAGTAGTAACAAGTGCCACGCTAGTAGCAACAGGTGCCTTACTAGTAGTAACAAGAAGCTAGTAGTAACAAGTGCCACGCTAGTAGTAACAGGTGCCTTACTAGTAGTAACAAGAAGCTAGTAGTAACAAGTGCCACGCTAGTAGTAACAGATGCCTTACTAGTAGTAACAAGAAGCTAAGTAGTAACAATGTTTGCTAGTAGAAACAAGTGCATCGCTTCTAGTAACAAGTAGGGGCTAAGAATCATCTTTGGGAGCGGAGCGCTCGACTCGACAGTCAAAGTGTCGCCAAAACACCGTGTGATGCCCAGTCTGAGGGGTGGAAGATGTAGGGATACTCTCCTGGAACAGGATCAGAACTTTGTGCAAGCTAGAAGTTGGCTACAGCCAGACTATGCCAGACTCAAACCACCTCACCAGCCTCTTTCTGAAAATTCAATGTCTCTTTTTGATGCAGGCATGTTCGTTCACCTTCCCTGGATCACATGGGCGTTAGCTAAAAGCGGTGCCTACTACGACATCCTTCCAAAACATTCCACGCTGACCAAAGAACCTCCTTCAACCAACACACATTGAACATCATTGAACGCTTCTCGATTGCCAAGGATTTTTTCTATCTGAAATCGATTGGGTCCAGTCTTTGTATCTGAAACCTTCGTGCAATTTCGTGCACGTTTTTCGTCTTCTTTTCTTTTGAGGCGAGAACTCGAGACGGCCAGCGAAAGCACAAACACGACCACCCGCTCTGCCGCTTCCCGCCCGCTTCCCGCTCTCTCCTGTCATTCCAGTCCCATGTGTTTGCACATGATACTTGTGGCCTTGAAATTCCTCGGGGATTGGCCAGGCCTCACGACACAAGGCACACGGTGGCTTCTTCACACGCTGTTGGCACCGAGAAGCATTGAAGGTCACGTTTTCGAAGGAAGCGCCAGGTTTGAGAAGCGCCATGTTGTGCTTCACCATCTCCTGAGCACAGTGCCATGGCGATTGCAGCTACGACTCTGTCAGCAAAGCTTGTGCACCAGCTGCGCTCATCAAGCAAAAACCAAGCCAAAAGCCCCTTCCAACAATGTACAGGAAACATTGGTGAGGATTGCGCGTGGAAACAGTTTGATCAATTTCAACATAACATGAGGCCAAAGGAGGTGAATGAAAGCTAGGCAATGGGGCGAGTGAGTCGGAATGGAAAGTAGGCTCGCTTTTTCCACCAAGCTCTACAGAATCTTTGAAATGTCTTTGATCAAGCGTCCAGGGCCAGGTTGTAGTGTTTCTTTTGCGTCTTTTGCTTCTTTGTAGCTTGGAAAGAAGGCAGACCGTATGCTGTGAAGGTCCGAGAGAAATCCACGTAGCCTCAATGCTGGAGCCGACTTAAGCCGAGACCGAACGGCGTGACAACAAAGTGCGTACAAAGACAAGTTAAATTAAGGTTTCCAAAAAATCTAGGAAACAAATCATTGGTGCGAGCGCTTTCTTGAAGAAGCGTGAGCTATCCTGCGTCCAGTTACTAGAAACTTTAGTTGCTAGGAGCAAACTTGGCCCTTACTTAATCAAGCGGGGGCCTAATTATATAATTAAGGAGGCAGGGCCGAGCGGGCTTAATTCAAAGGTTTTTTGCGAATTTCTTCGACTTGACCATCCAACTCGGCCGAAGCGACCGAAAGGCCCTACCACGTCCGTGTCCAACTGCACGGTCTCACCAATGTTGATACGTCGTGAGCCGCTCTGTGAAAAGCAAAAGCTCGGAAGGGATGTGGGATTCCGGCCTTAGGGTTTAACCCTAACAGCTATAGTAACAAGAAGCTACTAGGAACAAGTGCCACGCTAGTAGTAACAGGTGCCTTACTAGTGTTACTACTAGCTTCTTGTTACTACCAGTAAGGCACCTGTTACTACTAGCGTGGCACTTGTTACTACTAGCTTCTATGGAACAAATAATGAAATCTTCGGTTGACATTGGGCCCCGTGAGCGCTCCGAGGACACGCCACGGTCGCATCTCGACCCGAACACCGGTCTTACCGACGGAATAGACGATGTTTCCCATCGGCTGCCTGAGGCCTAACCGTAGTGCACCGTGCTCCTCCCCATCAAGGGAAAAAATATATGAAGAAATAAGGAAACAAGAAAAACATGTGCAAAATACAAATTCTTAGTTAACTGGTGCTGTTGCTAAGCTTCTTCTGTGAGTTCCTTTTAAAAACTATAGACAAAAAACATTGACAGGCCAACGGTTTGATTCTGGCCTAGACGTTGGAGAGCTTTGAAGACGCGGGTCCAAAGTCAAGAACGTGGCAAACAATTTGTGAGGGCGCGTCTTGTCAAGGAGGATCTGGGGCTGTTCCTATTGAAACCTTGCGTGTTTATCTCGAACTGTAGCGAATGTCTCAGGTCCGTAGTCTTTCCCACTATCTGCTGGCGCTGAGCCGCTGGCACCCTGAGGCGCAGCCCCCGACAGGGCACAGGAATGCCCCAACTAACGCAGCTTAGCTCAAGGTCAGTGATCCGCCAAACAGCGGCGTCCGCCTGGTCAAGTTTAATCAACTTGTTCAAAAGGCGTCAAGCATAGGTGATAGATTGGGTGCTCGAAGCAAAACTTCTTGGTTTTGCTCTAGGAGGCTGCCCCGAGTGCTTGGCCGCAAATCTGATCTGTGGCTGACGTCCCCAAAATCGGTGATGGATTTCCCCAAACTCGGGGACAGATTTTCTCAAAATCGGTGACAGATTTCCTCCAAATCAGTGACAGATTTCCCCAACATCCGTGGCTGATTGTCCTCAAAAACCAAACCAAATTATTGCCCAAAACCGGAGCCAGTTTTGGTTTGCTCGAATAAGGCCAATCTTTCCCTAAAACGTATTTGCTGTTGTTGCTTCAATTTAGGATAAGCACACACAGTCCAAAAGGATAAGAACACCACAACTTTTCTCCAAATTGTGCTTCGATTTTCCATCTAAAACTATTTTCCCTCTTGTCATTTCACACTGGCAAAAGTCAAAACGACAACGGCGCTTGCGTGCACAAAGCCATCCGTCAAACTAATCAGCACTTCCATGAGTTTTTGCCACTCAATTTTCCGTGTTTATTGCCACGTTTGGGTGAAACTCCGCACTGAACAGCTCTGTGGCTTCTGTACCAGCCGCTCACCGATCGTTTGAGGCAAGTTGCCTCCGCAACTCATCTTTTCCCACTTGAATATGCCACCTTTGTATCTTTATATCATCACCCCCTTTAAGGAATAGGACGTAAAATCGCACAATCACAAAACCAAAGTGCCAAGCTTGCCACAACAAAACAGATTACGCATCTTACAATGGAGAAGGCGCGCATTCACGGAGCAAAAGAAAGTCCCAATTTGATACATGGAATGAAACCGTCCAAACTGTTTCAAGAAGCAGCATTTAGAAAGAAAAGCATTGCCGCCTGCGCACACGTTGCTCACAAACAAGCCAGCCTCTATGGAATGAGGTATCCATAGCAGTCCAACCTGGAATGATTGGTTGACCCTCGCACTTCAACAAGGCGTTTGTAAAAGGTAATAAAACAACAAAAAACTTTTGACGGTGACTGCAAACCGCCAGTTCGCTCAACAAGAAAAACAAGAAACCTGCCTCTATGCCACTTGTGGCACAATGTAGCCGTAAGGACTGTCTTTACAAGTGTCACGAAGAGATGCACTCATCCTCTCTTCTTTGCTGCAGTTGCCATCCTGCAGAGAAGGCATTCAAACTAAAAAAGAGCTGACTAAACACGAAGTGGTAGGTCATTGAAGCTACTGCAACTAGCAAACGAGTTGGTGGCACAAACAACGGCTCCTCCTGTTGGCTAAATATTTCAATCTGATGTGCATGACACTTCACTTTGTTAGGCTTCTCCGCCTTAATCGCCTCACAGCAACCCATACACTTTTGCTTTCAAGAAAACATGGTCTGGCTTTTATAACTGTCTGCTTTGTCTTCTACTCAACATCAACTAAGGCACTATTGGACATGAACGCAAACGATGAACTCACAGCGCGTGTTGCAAAGATGGTCGCTCTGCTTAATCTTCGTCATTGCCTATCTCAAAGCTGTTCCAAAACAAAATGAAAGACATTCAGTTTGAGGTCTGCACCTTCTTCATCTTCGGGGGAAAGCAGAGCTATCACTGAGTACTTGGTTGCACACTTAGCATGTCAGTGAGGCACCATGAGATTGTAGAGCAAGCAAAGAAGATCAAGCCTCAGGATCACAGATGACGTTAAAGAATTTAATTAAGCAAGCAAGGGAAAGAAGTGTAAATGAGTGTAAAAACAAGTTCGTTGGATTTTTCAAGCCGACAAGCAGGGCCTTGTGAGGTATGAAGATCTGCACACCGACAACATTGAGCAGATGCGAAGCTGCCGTTTGGAGCTTGGAGAAGACGAACAGACGAACACGTGCAGCGCCATTTTCACAACTAGGTGCTCACGCGTTTCTTCCCAAAAGTATGTTTCTCCAATAATTTCTGAACAGCTGACCTCCTTTCTGAACTCATTTCCGTAAAATTCAGAGGACGGCAAGACTGTAGGAGGTTTCACAGTTGGTGTGGCTCAAAGTTCTTAGCCCTCAAGACCCAACTTACAGGGCCATGCAAGAGGCCTACAAAGTGGGGACCTTGCTTCGCGTTGAAGATCCAAATTCTGATTCCGAGAGCAGTCACATTGACGTTGAGGAGAGCCACACGCGAAGCCTAGATCCATTTGATCCTGATGTATACTTGGATGCCTTGTTCGGACCCTTGTACTTCAAACTCGAGCGTATTCAGAAGGATGGAGATTCTGGCCCCAGATTCCCGGACTACATTGGTTTGCATCTTCTTGCTTCTCAACCTTCTCTTGCAGCTGTCCATCGCCTTGAAGATTCGACAAGTGGGGCAGCAAACCTATGGAGATGTTGGAGATCAACTGACGAGTGGCACCTGTTGGAGAGTCTCGAGTCATCCGAATTATTTCGGGGTTCTCTATCCCGAGGAGTTTAGGGAGGAGATCGGGAGATTTGACTTTGATTGCACCCCGCCACTGCTCACCTTGTCCATGTTCCCTGGCACTGTGGACCTCAACCATGATGGCTTTTGGTCCTCCGAAGAAGTAGACAAGAAAGAGGACGAGATGTATCAGGCTGGATCTCGCAGCGCTGGCGACATAACCCCTGCTTTCATCGAGATGGCCGAGTCCGACAAGAAAAATCGACCAGGCTCCCGCAGTTCTTATACCGATTCTTTCAGCTATGTTGGACATGGAATTCTTCAAGCACTACAAAGGGCACCTTCAGGTTTGCTTGGCCAATGACAAGAACTTATGCGGGAATTTGGAAGTCTTCAAGCAGCTTCCAGAGATGCTGCCAGGGTTCAAGGAAACAAATGACCGAGAAGAGGAGTGCGAGACCATAATGTCAAAGTTCTGCAACAAGATCTTTGGGGAGCCTTATGAGTTTATCAACGAGAAGACTATGGAACTTTGTGGTGCTGCTTCCTTCTCCCGGGTAGGAGACGTAAACACTGTCGCGTACAGCGCCGTTGGCACATACGTAGGACAAATAGATTCTGTTCTTGGCAAATCATTTGTGTCCTTCCTCATTTTGCTACTCTTTATATGGTTCATCCTCCTAATCACCGAGTTCCGCTACATTTGGAACTTCTTCCAAGTGATTTGGAACCTGCCCTCCAAAGACAACTCCGACCCAGACTTTGCTTCGGCTGACGGCGGCAAGTTCACGGTAACGAAGCTGCCATTGTGCCACAAGGTATTTGCCCTCTTAGCCATCGGTGTGCCAAGGCTAGTGATCGCCTGTGTGGTGGCATACGTGGGCGCAAACTTCCTGGCAATCACCAATACTTTGCAGGACTTGGTGTTGAACTGCACCGCTTTGGGATTCCTCCTCGAGGTTGACCAAATGATTCACACGGGGCTGTTGGGGCAGAGCATTGAAATCATGATGCATCGCTTCGAGCCTATGGAAGTGCCATCCCCAACCCGTGGGGTCATGCTGACCTACAGCTCCCTCGTGATGTCCTTCCTAATTACGGGTGCTTTCGTTGCTTATACTTACTTGCGGCCGGAAGGATTGCGCGACGTTGGCATGGGCATTGAGTGCCTGTGTCACTTGGAAGGTAGTTGCTATGTCCAGCAGTTGCTGCCGCGTGTGCATGGACAATGAGCATGCCGTGCTCTAATGCGGTGTGTAGCCAACACGTGCAGTTTGCTTAATATTGGGTGATTCTTGAACTGACGGAACAGTTCGGCGGCCTTGAACGTCGCGATCGATCATTGAGGACAAAAGCCCGTTGAACTTGCGTGATTGTCAAGTAGCCCACATTGATTGGACTGCCTGTTTGATAGTTTTTGAGCATTCTTGCTGACACGCACCTAAACTAGAACAGATGACCAACCTGACTTGATTGAGGTTTGATGCTCAGCTGCTGGAGAAGGTGTGCCGCGGGCTATTCTGGGCACGCCTTACTTCTTGATAGATGAAAGATGAACGTATTAAAAGCATTTGGAAAAACTTGCAAGTATATATATATATATACAAAAATTGCTTCAAATCCCTCCATGTTGTGGGGCTGTTGCACTTTTGAGTATGCAACCGGCTTCTCATCAAATGAACATGTACACAAGTCAGTGAGGCAGCACTTTCGCTTTAAGTGAGCCAATGTGACGCAGTTCTAGGGTTCTAGAGCCTGGAGCGGCAAAGATGACGAAAACATTGCTGCCAATACCGCCAATGAGCTACATGCGATGTTGGTACTCCAAGACGAGAACGACATGTTGAGTGTTGCACGTCTAGAGCTACAGGATATTGGAGATTGAGCAACAGATGCAGCTCATGGATGAAGTACCTGAGGCAAGTGCTAGGCTGCTAGTCACAGCCAGGAACTTCCCCAGACATATTTGAGATCATTCACCTTGGGGTTAAAGGTATAGGTTAACATAGAAACACAATGAAATTTAAGAGATGCAGAGGAAAGCTTTTGAAATGAATGTTTTTATACATAAGGCTCTCAATATAGAAGTGATCACCACCAGAGGTCAAGCCAATGAAAGCTGTATATATGAAGGATCCTTTATTGGCAATTCTACTTTCCCAGACATCTCTGTTCAGAGATCATTGACCTTGGTGTCAATTGTATAGGTTAAATCTGCATGACTTTGCAACATGACAACTCTGCTTTCCGAGAGATCCAGAGGAACGCTATTGAAATGAAAACTTATATATTGTGAAAGTCAGAATCCTGCTCCAGTGTCGGACGATCAGGTTTGAGAGTTCCCGCCGATGCATCTCGGCTTAATAGGCCTGACGCCATTTTACGGCTGCGCCTGAGGAAAACTAAGTGCGCGAGGGATCCTTTTGCTTTGGATTCCACAGTGGCACCGGAGCCTCAAGATCCACGGGATTTGGCCGCACTCCGCCCGCTGCTTTGCATAGCTTGCTCCTTGGCCTTTCCGAACCTCCTTGGACCTTTTGCTGGACCTTTCAGGCTAAGCCTCTTGGGCCCTACTTCACGTCTTCCTCTTGGCCGCCGTGCTGATTGTTGACGTGACCTTCCCTTTGAGAATAACTAGATTCTCCTCGTTGACCTGACCTTTTGTTTGGCTTCCGCCGCTTCACCTAGGCCGCCGTGCAAGTGGAGGTCGGAACCTTATTTTGGCCGCGAGATGGCTTCGGCCAAAGAGTCAGGTACCTCTTCATGGTACAGGGTACCTACGTGGTCCGGCAATCCCTCTGAATGGAGGCAGTTCAAGAGCAAGATGAGTTGGTGGATGGCGTCATTAGACGCCGAGCAATGCAAGAAGTTCAATGTGGCCGCAAGATGGGCATTACGCCAGTACGGCGTGGTACGAGCTCGGTGCGAAGAGTTCGACCCCTCCGAACTGGAGGGCGCCGTTGAAGATGCATGACGGACCCGGAAACCGGAGAGAAAGTGATCCGTGTTGAAGGTGACCCTTTTAGCGGCTTGAAGAAGCTCAAGGCTGCGCTCGAAGCCACGGTTGGAAAGACAGCCCTAGACCGAAAGGGCGAGTTGAGATCCCTGTACTATCAGGAGATCAAGAGAGCTGCCGGTCAACGCAGTTCAGCTTTCTGTACACGTTTTCGTACAGTGGCAGCTGAGTTGAAGCGGGAGGGCATTGTCATGCCCGATGAGGAGCTTGGCTGGATGTTGAAGGAGCGACTGGGTTTAGACCCGATCCGCAAGCAGTTGTTGGAGACAGCCCTCGCTGGCAGGGAAACATACGATGTTGTTGAAAGTGAATGCCTTCGGTTGTTCCGTGACCTGCACACGGCAGATCCCCTCTACAAGAACAAGACCTTTGAGAAGGTCCCGCTCTTGCAACGTTTCCTGCAGTCGCATGACAGAGGCAGTTCTGGATCTTCATACAGACCTTCAACTTCGGCCAGTTCCACAGCTCCTTCATCTCGCTCGTTCCGCACTCAGAGCTCGGTGAACAGTCGACCTCCTTTCAGGAAGTTTGGACAACAGCCACCTCCTCGACAAGCTTTGTTGACAGAGATGCCCGAAGATGATGGTGGACAAGTTGAGCCAGAGGATGAAGAGCTGATCCCAGATGATGGTCAGCCCAATGAGCCCACCATCGAAGAAGTCCTTCAGACAGAGGCAGAGCTTCTGGCCGCAGAGCTTGAGGAGTTGGAGACTGAAGGATGTGACCCACACGTCCTTGAGGAGTTGGAGCAAGGCATGGAGCAGGCAGCAGAAAGCTTGCTCACTATGAGAGAAGCTCGCACGAGGATAGCAGAAGTCAAGAAAGACAGAGGCTATGGCAAAGCTTCTGGAGGACCTCCTCGTGCTGGCGGCGGCAAGGCACATGGCAACCAAGTGCCAAAGCAGAAGCAGAGCACAAAGTGTTTTGACTGTGGCGAAACAGGCCACTGGGCAGGCGACGCTGGCTGCAAGTCCCCTGGCGCCGGTCTGGCGCGACCAAAGGGACGATCTCCAAAGGTCAGACAACGACCAAACAGGTTCGGGCGA